ATATTGCAAGCCAAATGCTGGCTGGAGCGGGAGAGAGCCCTGTGTTGCTCCTAGAGTGAGGAGGAGGATTGTAAGTGGTCAGACCATCTTTCAGGGCAGGGACAGCAGCCTGGGGCTTTAGAGAGCAGTGTTACTGTTTCAGGGCAGAGACTCATTTATGTGACACTGGATGAAATCAATTTCCCTAAACCTGCTCAACTATAAAATAAATATAGTATTAGGATCTGCCCATAAGTCTCTAGTCATGATTAAAACAGGTGGGCGAGGTGACATCCTCCTGGTTGTTACTACTGTGGCATCTCCTTCTCCTTCCTGGGCCAGCACCTAGTGTCTTAGGAATTCTCAATAAATGGGTATTGAGTTAATGAGTAAACATAATAAAATGTGTAAAACAAAGTAAGTGGTTCATCTATTAAAGATCAAGGCTCAAGACTATGGTACCAGTTCAACAACTGAAGAATTAGCTAGTTATCATTTCTGCATTGCACCAATTTCTTGCATTTACCTAAGAAATTCCCCAAGATTAAAGACTAAGAGAAGATAGATCTCTCGATTCCCCACAGGAACTTCATTTGCATAAGCCTTTTGAACACAGGTGACATCCTAGATTTTCTTAATCTTTTTTTTTCCATTAAGTTCATTGGTACATTTTAGGTATACAATACAGATACATCATCATTGGGATCTTGTACCTGTACATGATGTATCTTGGTTATTTTTTCCCCTTCCCCTGCCCTCCCTTCACCCTTCCCTTCCCTATTTACAAAGACTTTGTTTCCATGTTTTTCCTTTTCTCATATTTTTTCTTTTCCTTTCTTTCCTTTCCCCTACCCCTCCCACTTCCCCAACTCCTTTAGACCTTTTCTTCCTATTTCACAATATCAATTATAGATTTTGATCCTTATTTACACTTTTTCACACCAGAGAAACTGTTCAGTATTTGCATGTGTCCTATTTATTTCACTTAAGAGTATGGCTTCAATGTGTGCATCCACTTAGCTATAAATGTCTCTAGTTTCTCATTCTTTATGGCTGAGTAGTACTCCATTTTATAAAAAAAAAAAAAACTCCACATTTTCTTTATCCAGTCTCTAGTTGATGGGCAATCGGGCTGTTTCCAAGTTTTAGCTATTACAAACTGTGCTGCTATAAACATGGGTGTGCATATATTGCTGTGGTCTAATTCTTTTAATTCTTTTGGGAAGATACTCAGTAGAGGAATAGTTGGGTCAAATGGGACTTCCAATCCTAGTTGTTTGAGGTATCTCCATATTGATTTCCACAGTGGTCGCACCAGTCTGCACTCCCACCAACAATGGAGAAGGCTTGCTTTCTCCCCACAGCCCCGCCAGCATTTGTTATTTGTTGATTTCTTGATAGCAGCCATTCTTTCTGGAGATGGAATCTCAGCATTCTTTTCATCTGCATCTCTCGAATGATCAGTGATGTTGAACATTTTTTTCATATGTTTATTTTCTGCTTTTACTTCTTTGTCTGAGAACTGTCTGTTCATTTCAGATGCCCATTTTTGAATTGGGTCTTTGAATTTGGGGGGTCTGATTTTTTCAGTTCTTTATATATTCTAGATAGTAGACCTTTGTCTAAGGTACAGCTGCTAAAATTTTTTCCCCCATTGTAGGATGTCTCAGCTCTGCTGGTGGTTTCTCTTGCAGTGCAGAAGCTTTTTAATAAGATGAGATCCCAGTTGTTGATTCTTTGTGCTAGTTCACGTGCTACTGAGGATTTGTTCATAAAGTCTTTTCCTATGCCAATGTCTTTTAAGAGTTCTACCTAACTTATGTTCCAGCAAGTTTACTGTTTCTGTTTTAATATTTAGATCTTTAATCCACTTCACTTTTAGCTTAGTGCATGGTGAAAGATAGGGGTCTGGTTTTAATTTTCGGCAGGTTGAATTCCTAGCGAATCTTTAGTTATTGATCCAGGCCTCAAAAGCATTTCACCTTGTCCTCACAGCCAAAATTTAAGGCAGATATAGTCTCAAGTGTAGTATTACATATTGATGTTTATGTCAATCTGTTACTATTGCTAATATTACATTAATATTAAATGCTATATATAGCACTGTTTTACAAATAAAACTGAAATTCAAAGGGTTAAGGGAACTGACCAATGCCAAAAGCCCCCTGTACACAAGAGGAAATGAAGTATCCAAGTCTCTACTCAAGGTCCCCGCCTAATAGTACCCAGAGGCTGCATGTGGACACCCAGGTCCTTTGCCTACAAAGCCTTAGCCGCCACATCTGGGTCCAGGTCACACTCCGTGCCTTTAGTTTAGCACACTATTACTGAGATCCTCTAAGTTACAGAGTAAAAATATGCACTGAATAGCAAGATAGCTGGACCTGGAGTTACCTACTCTGTAGTTTCCCAAAGGAAGCAGCACAGAGCTCATCTTTGGAACCATTTACGGCCAGGCTCCACAAGGCACTGGAGACGTCCTGCTCCCATTTACCGCTCTTTCCAAACAGCCTGGCCAGTGCCACTCACCTGCATCCGGAAAAGGCCTGAATCCACTCCCTACTTCCTAACATAGCTGGCAATTTAAGGCCTCAATGGCATTAGCAAGACAAACTCCGGTCCCAGGCAAGGAGTGCACAGTCACCCATCAGCTGTCTGGGAGATGCATCCTAAAAGCCCCTGGCTCTGCTCACTCTCTGCAACCACAGTCACCTCCCCTTGAGATACTCTGAGGGCTTTCCAGTCTGCAAAGGCTGAAGACAAAATTCATTCAGTTCTACTTACAGCAAGGTCTCTTTGCCCGGTTCCGTGTTAAGCATCAGAGACACACAAACGAATTGGACAACGCAGTGATGTGGAAGGGAGCCTGAGTGAACCAGAAGGTTCACCAGAGATAAGCAAAGGCATTTAGCACTTGAGGGCCATGACTTCCCCCTCAGGCTCCTCCTGATTAATGGCATCAGATTGGCACCTACTCCACAGCAGCTGGCTCTCTCCTCCTCCTCTTTCAAGGTTCTCTCCGAGGGAGAGAGAAGGAAAGAGACCATCCGCACACTTCCACACCTCCTCCATTGCAGGGACTGCAAATGTCATTAAACACCTACTTGTGAACTTCCGCTTAGTAGGCAGTCATCTGTCCTGCCTTTCAGAATGGAAACTACTTGAGGATCGAACTATGGATCGGGCTCTTCTGTGAATTGGGTACCGAGAACCCAAGAGCCTCCCGGCTAAGTGCCTGGTGAATATTAGCCATGTTTCTCACATCATTTTCTCCAGTCATTTGTTACCTTGGCTTTGAGTCTGCCTGATTTCTCCAAAAGGATTACACGCTCTCCCCATGGCCATCTACCGACAGTTTTCAAACTCTATTTAAAACACATCCATTTAGTCGTGCCCTTCCCTATAAACCATCAGCACTTTACAAAGCCATCTTATATTATCATCTGTCCCTATGAGTGAAATTGATTTTTCCTTAGAAACAAGCTAAAAAATTTTCTTTTTAACCTCTATGTTGTAGTTCCTAGTGTGAAATGGGATAGTTAACAGAATCAAACTGAGGTCAGCTGTATGAACCCTAAGAAAAACAAAGCTAGGAGTTGGAAGGAAGGAAGGGCCCTTCCCCGTGCCTGCCTGGGAGCAGGTGGGGTAAAACACTGGCAGAGCCACCCGTTTGCACAAGTCACCACAGCCTTAGACAGAACCTGCTGCAAGGGCACCTGCCTGCCACTGTGTCCAACCCCAGACTGCCTCTCTGCTGACCTCTGTGACAAGGATTAATGTTCCAAATACCTGACGTGACTCAGCTCAGTTTGTGTCCTTGCACCAGCCTCAAGCCTGCTGAATGTGCCCACAGTTTACAGGGGTGAAAGGGCTCCCATCGCTGCCCTGTGCTATCCTCAAACCTTGAGGGTCTCTGGTTGTTGCCTGCAGCCAACACTGAGCCGGAGTGCAGGGTCTCTGGCCCTCAGAAGAATCAGCACCTTATCAAAACTTCAAAGTTTTGCATTTACATTGCAGATGAAATTGCTGTATTTAATAAGCAGTTTCCACAGTAAATTCAGTACAAGGAAATAATATTCTGGCCTATTCGTTTTGGCCCTTTTAAATGATTCCCAACATGTCATTTACCTACATTAAGCAAAGCTCAGCCCACTTAGGAAAAATAAGAACAGCAGCCTCCACCAAAACCAGCCAGGAATAAATGCACATTCATTAGCTTCCTGCCCTCTCCCCTGTGCAAGGGGAGCCGTGAGCACATAGACTCCCACCCCGGGAATAAATGGCCTGATGGCTCTTAGAGCTCCCTACAAGCCCCAGCAATGACCCTATGTGTCTAGGTCTCACAGAAGCCCACTGACCAAGCCCAGGCACTTGAACCCCATGGGACTGTGACAGCAGTGACTTCAGACGCTGGCCTAGCGAGTGCTGGTGGCCTCCCATTTGCCACTCAGATGCCACATCTGTCCCTTTGCCAACTGCTGGCACCTGCACCCTCGCTATCCAGCAGCGCCACATGGACATGGTTCGCCCATATTCCATGCATTCTGTGGCATGCGCCATTCCCTTTGTTGGGACCCCAAAACCACCTAATACAGGGGTTATGAAGACCAGCACTCCCCATGTAGACTCCGTAACAGGAGCGTGGTTTCCATCAATTTTTGCATCGATCCCACAATTCCATGTATCCTAGAAATTTATGTTAAGGCAGTTTTCACAAACACTGATAGCTTAGAAGGAGTGATTAATTTTCACACAATATATGCAAGGATTTTGTCCATTAAATAAATTCATCAAAATGTTTACTGAGAAATCCAAAGGTGATACCTACTGATATTCTCAGAGAAATTATACTAAGCTAAATTGCTTGAACTAGGATGAAAAATGTTAGAAAAAGATAGACAAGTAGAAAAATATGTACATTCAATGAACTCTAATAGATGGTTTACCGGAAACCCGCATAACATTTCTCAAAAGAACTTGGCAGGTTTTATTTCAGTAAGACAAAGTAAAGAGGAAATGGCTTAAAAGATATCATCAATCTTTTATTTAACTAAGCACTGCCCTTCATTTTGAAGGAAATGATACAATTTCAAATTGGAACTTCCTTCTCAAGAAGTAGTGGAAGAACATTAACTTTGATTTAACATACAACCTTCAAGAAAAATAAAATTTATACAACTCATTGGGAAATAAAATGCACTGACGTCTATCCTGTAAGTTAATGTAATTTTCCATGGGTCACAAGCATTATAGCCAAGAAAAAAATATAATGAATAAACCAGTCAAGTTTATAGTTATTCTGATTTTTAAAAACTCACAAATGAAATCTAACTTTCCAAAAAAATTTATTTTATGACCATGATCACGCTAGACTGTATTCTAATTTATATAAAAAAATGGTTAGACAAGCACATAATTATCAAGAGTCTTCAACACAGTGGATCCCATTTTTTTAAGAAAAAAAATACAAAACAAGTAGTCCTTAAATTTTCTTAGCTTTCCATAGCATATGTCATAAAAAATTAAAGTTCTGCTTCCAAAAAATATGTTTCCATGTGGTTGTGGTGTTGTCCAATGGTGCTATTAGGGTCAAAAGCACCAAACACAGGAGGTTAACCACTGAAGTATCATTTTTCGAAAAACTAAAACTTTTCTTAAAGTCTGGAATAAAGTATTCTGAGAGGCATTTAGTGTTAAAGTCATTTTAAATTAAATGAGGAATAAAAGCTACAAAAAGTATGAGTTTTTTCAGTACAAAAAATGTGTCGCTGAAGTTGTGGACTCCTCTGAAACACACAAGCAGGCTCAATAAAATATTTGCTCAGTAAGAAAATAGAATTTGTCTGATTTCCTTTCGCATATATTCCAGTCGATATCCTGCTCATCACTGCCAGAGCTTCTGAAGAACTTCAGAATCGATATTTCTTTCCTTCAAAGAGCATCTGTAATTCACAGTACAAAACTGTTCTATTCTTACTCCTAAGGAGAAACAAAAATTATTAAATATACTCATTTTTTTCCCTAAAGTGCTAGATGTAGCCATTGCCAAGGTATTAAAAAAAAAATCACTTCTCCACAATACTGCCATCTTAAGGAAAGACCCAAGAATTGTTTTGATTCCCTTTCCTGGAGCTCTTTCCAGGTAGTTCTTTACGCATCAGACACCTAAGAACGCATCCCATTCCCGAGTATTACTCAGTTTGCATCTCTTGGTACCTTGTGGAAACACTGCCACTGCACACCAGAAATCAGCATCAGGAACAGATCTAGTTCATTTTTAAGCCCTGTTATCAAAAACCTCTTCTCTAAAGATAAAATGCTACTTGAGTTGGATCTTACAGGTTTCCTTGGAGTCCAGAACTCCAAACGCACCTCATCCGTTGTAACATAAAGTCACTCAAAGAGATCAGACTTCGAGGGCCAGAGGAAAAATATGGGGATGCAGGAACTGGACAAAGCTGTCCAGCCCCAGTGCCATTCTCCTCCCTCGTACGCATCACTTTCAACTTTCACTCACACAAACCTGCTGGGGTAGGGCCTCCTAAGGGTCTTACTCAGGCTTACCTTGTTCTGCTTTTCATGGGCAGGGGAACATACACACACAGCCGGGAGACTGAAATAGAGAAACTAGGTCTACTTTCCAACAGGAGATCAGTTTTCTTCCAAGGCTAGAATGTGGTTCATCCTGACAACCAAAGGGACAGCACCTGTGTGGCAATCACTATGAAAATCAGGGACACAGCTAAGGCCCTACCAAGGAAGGGGTTCCATCATGCTTCATGAGGTGCTACGGAGATCTAGACTTCCAAAAATTATGGCCTCAATTCCCATGTCTAAAAACAGTAAGTACACAAAAAAATCTTTCAAGTTGTGTTGCCTTGCTTTAGAAAACCTGCAACCAAGACGACCATGGCTGCAGACTGCTCAAGTCCAATTCTATTTCAACTGTAAAAGTTAGGTCACAAAATGAACTCCACAGTGTAGTACACAGTAACTCCCAAGAGGGGCAAAACCCCCTCAAAGTATACTCAATTTTTGAGATAGCACTGGTAAAGGGCACACCCACGGAGGCATTTAAAGCCCCATCCCAAAGCACCTGAGTCTGTGCTGACCACACCAGGTGGCAGGGGGACTCCGTCACTCCTTAAGAGGCTGCTGAAGGAGTGATCTCCAAGCAATGAGGAGACTGCCTGCCATACCGAGACTTTACACCTTGAATTAAATTCCAAAGGTGCCTGGCAAAATAAGCACGTTTCCACTGAAGTATGTCTCAAGCCCTGGATTTTACCACCAAAGGAAGTGAGGGTCAGGGAGATGGGCCAGAAAGAGGAACAAAGAATTAAAACTTCAAGGGAATCACCACCACCCAGCACCTTGTTTATAAAAAGGGCTACCTTCCCGATTCAGGACGACGGGAGAGGTGGACATTAACTCTGGACAGAGCCGGACTATATGGCTGTCTCCTTAGAGGGTACTGCGCAGGGTGGCACTGGCCAGCCCATTTGCACCCTCCCCTGCGATGCCCTGCCAAGCAGGTTTCATTAGACCGGAGACACAAAGGCGATCCCCTCCTTCGATAACAAATGACACAGCCATGAGCGCCTACAAGGCAGGCAGAAAAAACAAAGGCGGTGGCACAGGACCTTAAGTGAATCCTTCCCAGGCGGGCTGGCCCTGGACAGCGATTTACTTGTAACCTGGGAAGGGGAAGACTCCACCATGAGCCTCCTCAAGAGGAATTTCTAGGGAGGGAGCCAAGTCTTTGTTTGTAGCCAGAGTTTGTGCAACTATTTGTTACACTAAATAGGAAGCTGCTCCGTTTTGGTCTGCTGCTCCTAGCCCTGGTCATGGTTTCACCAGCCCTGCGCCCCAGGAATCCCATTAATTAATCACATCAGCCTTCCTGAGCGCTGGCCCAGCTCAGCAGGGGAGAAGACAAACAGCTCTCACTGCCGGCCCAAGGGGGCCCCCCCTCTGGCCTCCTACAAGGAATCCTGAGCTCAAGCGCAAGGCAAAGCTAGAGGAGGCAGCGGCAGACACTGACACTGCGAATTTTTCCCAGCCTTGTTTGCATAAGGGTCACTTTGGGATCCAGACCCCGCAGGGATTAAGTGTCTAGCAAGTCCAGTCTGCCTTGGGAGAAAGGCAGCCAGGGGCATAAGGAAAGCCGGGGTCCAGCCCAGGTGCTCCTACCTGTTCCCAGTCCCCTCCTCCTCCCCTAGCCACAGCCGACCGCGCATTTCACCAACTCTCCGTTTTCCAAAAGGCCCAGGTGGCCGAGGAGGCAGGAGGGAGAAGAGGAAGAGGACAGCAGCTGCGCTCAGCCCAAAGCCTTCAGGGCGCCGCCACCTCTCCATCCTCCTCGGAAGCCAGGCCCGGAGGGCGCCCAGGAGGCGGCGTAGTCCGCGAGGCGTGGCGGTCGCCCTCCTCCGGCTCGGCGGGGTGCAGGTGCAGCGCGAGCTCCTGCAGCACCGCGGCGCGCCCGATCTGGTCATTGCGCCGCTTCTCCATGATCAGGTCCTCCAGGCTCTGGAACTCCAGCGTGTGGCTGCGCCGCGCTGAGAGCTGAATCTGCAGGCGGTAGGGCTGCTTGCCTATGCGCAGCTCTCCGCCGATCTTGAACTCGCGCTTGCCGTAGCGGCACCAGGCGGCGAAGCTCTCGGAGTTGCGCCAGCTGAGCTCTCGCTCCTTGGCGCCCACGTGCGCCAGCGCGTTGCGCACCACGGCGCCGGGGCTCAGTGGCCGGTAGCGGTACAGGTCGTTGACCACGCGGCCGCGGCGGCCCTGGCTCGCGTCGGTCAGGAAGCTGTTGCTCACCTCCAGCCGGTGCAGGTGCACCACCTGGAAGTTGCCCACGTACACCGCCCAGTGCGGGTACTGCGCCTGCGACACGAACTCCACCAGGTCGCCGGGGCTGCACCTGTTGAGCAGGTTCTCGGGGGTGTAGGTGCTGAGCGCCGCCGAGCCGGGCGCGAAGCTCTTCTCGTAGATGCACTCGTCCCGGTAGAACACCGAGCACTCCACCTCGTGCAGCCGCGGGTCGTAGGGCTGCGGGGCGGGGGGCTGCGGCCCGTTCCCACCGTCGGGCGCCCCACGGCCCTCGGGCCCGGGGGGCGGGGGCTGCGGCTCCCCGTCCTCGTCGTCCTGGGAGAAGATGTAGGAGACCCCGATGCGGGGCCCGTCGTCCCGGTCCACGCCCGTGGGGTCGGCCGTGGGAACTTCCCTGTAACTTAGATGGGTCAGCTTCTCCACCTGGTTGCCCATCACGCTGCGGACCCAGGCTCACGCGGCGGCGAGACGGGAAAGCGAAACCACCACCGGGGTCATCGGCGCAGCCCCTCCCCGAACGGGGGCGGAGGCCACCTGTTGGAAGAGAAGGCGAGGCAGCCACGCAGGCACGCACGGCCCCTTCCCGCGAAGGAGGGATCAGGAGGGATCGGCGGGCCGAACCCTGGGCCGTTTTAGGGAGGACGCGGTGGCGGCCTGTGAGTTGCAGCGCAGGAGGCCTGGACTCACTCGGGCCGCCCCGCCCCGTCCCGCCCCGCCCCTCTCGGCCGGGCACTGGCCCATTGCATCAGCGGGAGGTTCCCGCCCTTCCGCCCGCCCGCGCCCTACCTGCCCGCGGGCCGCGTGGGGGGGAAAGAAACTTTGCTATCGTCCCTGCGGAGCCCTCCCGCCCAGGCCCCAGACGTCCCCAAGGCGCCATCCCGGGGCCACCGAGGGGCGCGGCTGGCAGGGGGGCCCCACCCCGGACTCACCTGCGCGCCCCTCCCCGCACCCCGCTCGGCTACCGGCGCCTCCGCGGAGGCCCCGCCGCTCCCGGGCTTCTAGGGCGAGTCTGCGGGCGCGGGCTTCGCGGGGCCCCCAGTCCCGGCGCGGGCGGCGGGGCCGGGCAGGGGGCAGCGACGCATGTCTCCCGGCTGCGGGCGCCGAGACTGCAGGCGGGGGTGCGGTCCCCGGCCACCCACGCCGCCTGCCCCGCCGCGCCGCGGAACCCCCTGCGAACCGCTCTCGGGCAGGTGGGGCGCACGGAGCAGGCGGCAGCCTCGCTTCCCGGCAGTAGCTCCCGCTTTGGCCGGCGAGCAACAAGCGCCTTTGCTCCGGGGCGGGAGGAGCGGATTGTAGATCCGGCTCCCGGGCGGGAGCGCAGGCCGTGGTGGTTAAAGACACTGGAGCTGCCCGCGAGCTCTGCGGCGGCTCGGCCGAGCTGCCAGGCCCCGCCCCTTTCCCCCCCTCCGCCCGCCTCCTCCGGGATTTAAACCCTGCTGGTGAATAATAGCCCCGCCCCTCCCCGCCCACCCGGGCTCGGTCCCGCCCCTTCCACGCCCCCTCCGCGATTTAAATCCCGCTGGTGAATGGCTGCAGGCCAGGCCGAGAAGTTGGGAAGCGATGCCTGGGCCAGAGAGGGGCCCGCAGCACGGCGAGGGCAGGGGTTCGGGGCTGAGCTGCTATCCCTTTCATTCCTTCCGGCTCAGAACACTGCAGAGGGCGACAGTGACTAGAGACTTCTGCTTCGTGCTTTCCTTACCTGGCACCTTGCTCCTGGCCTGAAGTTCCTGTCCTACAGCCTGAGGAACAGTTCAGCTCCGGACGCTTCCGGAATGAGTGGAGTGAGACTTCAGGGTGGGAAAACATTAAGAAAAAGGAAACGGTGTAAAACAGGACGGATTCCCGGGCTGGCTCCAAGACCGCGCTCTCTTTATTGGTTGTCCCTCAAAATCAGTACAAAATTAATTTCGTAATCGCTGACTGGCCCCGGTAGTGAGAGAGGAGAGGGAGAGGGACGGGGAGGGGGAGGGGGAGGGGGAGGGGGGCAGAAAAGGCAGATAAGGCAGATTCTCCTGGGGTGGGGGCATGGGAGCCGCCTGATTGTCCTCAAATCAGAAGCAAATTAGCAGAGGCCGGTGGATGAATTTCCTTCCTGCTGACTTTAGAGAGGGCAGTGACAGGAGTTTTGCTTCTCAGCCTCCACAGAGCACATTTACCCCTGCTAGTTTCATGTCTTGTCCCTAACACGTAGGTTATCAAATTGGTTTTTTGTTTTGTTTTGTTTATATTTTTCAAATAGTGGGTCGGGATAGTGGCAGGCGAGTGACAGCTCCACTTATGCTGGTAAGTTTGGGAAGAATGGACTTCAGAGAGCTGTGTTCTCCATCGCTGGTTCTTTTGACTCAATTTCTTCCAGGTAACCCTTATTATTTATTCGGTGTGTATACAAACCTGGGCAAACAAGAATATACTAACATGACTGTGATGCTTTTGAGTTTGAGAGGAAAAAATCAATCTACTTTTGTACCTTTAAGCCAGAGGAGTCGATACTGTCAAGGCTAGAAGGGAAGTTAGTCCTTGGCAAGTCTGACACAGCCTAGGTGAGAGGGAAATGAGACCTCTGTGTAGCCTTCAGGTTCCGTTTAACTGTCTTCGGGCTGGGTGAGGACAGGTGTGACCAGGCCTGGGCCTCTGGGCCACACATGCTCGAGGCACTGCTGTGCAGATCAGTAGTTGGATACTCTTTTATCTGAGACAGGATCTCACTGTGTAGCTCACACTGGCCTCAAAGCCACTGCATTGCCTGGGTTGGCCTCAAACCGGAAATCTTCATGCCTCAGTCTTTGGAGCGCTGGGATCACAGGTGTCACCACTATGCCTGGCTAGATACTCGCTTTATGGAGAAGTTTTAGGGAATCAGTGGGCTGTCATCCCATCTGTCAGCCTGAAAACCAGCTATCATCAGCAGGGGCTGGCTGTTTTGCCCCTACCTGCCTCAGGCTGGGTTTGCTGGGGATGGGAGAAACATAGAAGGACATGGGTGGTATGACATTCTGCTGCTGGGACTTCAGGTAAAAATGTCGTGGGTCATGAAACTACCCTGTCTGAATGGCCGTCTCTCCTGTTGACTTTCAGAGATCTATCCAGGGACACCACAGAGGGAGCCGACCTGTGTTGTCCTTCCAGCTGAATGCCTGGCCCTTAGTAGTTGCTCAATAAAAGTTTGAGGGCTGGGTGAAGGGAAACCTTGCCCATAGGTTTAGAATCAATTCCTTGTTTTAGAAGGCAGTGAGTGAATGGGTAAAGAGGATGCATTTGTGCAGCCTGGTGCAGTCTTCATCCCCCTGGAATTTCCCTGCTGTTCGGCTGACATTTTATCACTGGGTCATGTGTAGTTCAGCACAGGACTCTATACCATTTGATATTTTCTAATTCATATATCTAAAATGTATCTTCTGGCAAAAATTTGGTTCAAAATATATTTGTTGAAGCTATCTAGGTACTTGCTAGTGTTATCCACCATGCATTTGATTCTGCAAGTTCAGCTCCACTGTGCTAAGCTTGGTAGATATCCAGGACCCCTAGCGCTCAGCACAGTTGGAGACACAGGAACCAGGCAGCCTTGGGACACTGGGCAATGTCCCAGAAGTGGAGAAGATAGAGCAGGCTGGGGTCGGATGACTCATAGGGCCTGCAGATGCAAAGGTGAGGGTTAGAGTGCCTGCCGTCAGGGCTCTGGGTCCAGGGACGGCAGCACAACATTAAAATTAATAGCTACTATTGAGCAAGCTTCCAGTTCTTATATAAAGGAAAATAAAACATAGAGAGGCTGTGGCTTCTCCCAGCTGGTAGTTGGGAAGATCACATGGTCTGCTGTCTTCAGGCCCATACTTTTAACCACGTGGTTTTAAATAGAGATGGGCAGGTTCTACAATGTTTAACAAATATTTGAGTGTCTGGTTTTACCAGGCTCCGGGAATAGTCACTGGATATAGCAGACCAAGTGCCTGTTCTCATGGCATTTACGTGTCGATGGGAGGAGGACATGATCCATGAGAGAATGAATAAATGAGAATATCAGAGAGAGCGCAGGACCCTGGAGAGAAGAGGACAGACTGGGGCTGAATGACTGGCCTGGAGGAGAAGCAGGTGTGCAGGGCGGAAGGGCCAGCTTGGAGCCCTCCCCAGGCAGGCCACCTGCACAGCTGGGCAGGAGTCGGGTGTTAGGGACAATTCTGATTGTGACTACAGAATGGCAGTGAGAGAGGGACAATGCTGGGGGACGCAGAGAGAGGCCGGCAGGCCCATGGCATCTATGGCTGTCCCTCTGGCCACCTTGGGAAGATGGGTTATAGGAGAAGGAAAGGAAGTAGGGCCACCGATGGCCAGGCAAGAAAGGTGGATAGAGCTCGGGAGCAAAGGAAGCAGCCTGTGAGGACGCAGCTGCTCAGTGTGGGAATGCTGGGTGCGAATTCTCTGCCCAGGGACCCAGTGTTACATCCCACATACCTCAGAGGGGAGGCACGAAGAGAAACAAGGTGCATAGAAGGCCACTGAAGGCAGGAGGGGAGGAAATGAGAACTGATGTTGCTACTTGACAGGGTGTCAACCCTGAAGGACGGGTCGTGCAGACCTGGAGGGACTCACCCCAGAGTCCTCAGGGGAGAAGCAAGCAGAAGAAGGGTGCTCTAACAAAGCAGTCCGTCCCCCAGGCTGGCTCCAGGCCTGGGAGGGCAGCAGATGCCCCAGGGAGGTTGCTGGAAACATGTTCCTCCACAGCTCCCTTACCCTGGGAAACACCCAGCCCCACCTGCACCTGTTATTCTCTGCTGGGATTTGGGTGCAGCCTTCAAGGTGAGTGTTCAGTATAGACGTGGAGCCAGGTAACCCTACCCATTGTGTCTGCCAAGGGCATGAGCCTAGCTGGAGCTGTCTCTCGTCCACACTGGGCCTCGGCCTCTAAGGTGGGGTCGGGGTCCTCCTGTCCTCACTGGGAATCCCCAGGTGAGACCCTGTGTGTGGAAGCACCATGCAAATGCTAAAGGCTCTGTAGATACCAGGTGTTATTTATATCCCCTGTAAGAGTCAGATGATGATTTGAATATGAGGAGTAAAGGACGACTTTTTGGCTTTTGCAATACTGGATACTGAACCCACAGCCTTCACCTTGAACTATATCTCCAGTAATATTTTTTTTAAAACAAAGTCTTGCTGGATCACTAAATGGCTCAGGCTGGGATTAAACTCACAGTCTTCCCGCCTCAGCCTCCCAGCTAAGAATAACCTTTTGTAGTGGCAGCATCTTATTAGTCTCCACACTTATCCTGTTGTTTACGTTTCCCAGCTAAGAAGTGAAGGCCAAAGGCCCGAGAGGTGGATGTAAGCCCTGCCCATGGTTAAGGAGGAGTCTGGATCAAGTCCCAATCTTCTGGCTGCAGTGCCTCTTCCTGCGGTGTCAACAACGGTGAAGGTCACCAGCATCTGGCTGTGTCCACGTAGACAGGAACTGGCAGACGTGATGACGTCTAGGCCTGGTTTAGCCCTGGAGGCTCCGAGGCCCGGGCCAGCTGCATCTGTGGCCATGCTGCAGGGTCCTTCCCTGTGCTGGGCCTTGCGCCCCCTGCAGGCTGAGCTGAGGATGTGGCTGGGATGGAGCGGAGAGGAAGGGAGGAGCCTGGGAGGAGGGCACAGCCTGCAGAGAGGCATCCTTTAAAGAGATGTCACAGAAGTCACAGCCTGCTTTTGGCATGCATTCTTGGTTGTTTTCTTTTTGAATTCTTTTTGTAGTTGTTTCACAGTAACACTTTCCGCAATGGGTGAGGGCCAAGCCTTCCTCACCTGTGAGAGGTGTGGGCCTGTATCCTGTCTGCCCTTGGTGATCAGACCTGCTAAAGAGTGATACACTTCCGCCAAGTTATGACTTGCCCTTCGGATTCAGGATGGAGACAGATGCTGCTGACTGCTGTTCTTCTCTGTATCTTCTGTGCAGGCTGGGCTCCAGGGAGTCTGCAGGGCAGGTGGGCTGGTGGCGAGGAACCCTGAGAAGGGGCCTGGGGCTGGATCCCACTCAGCTCTCCACTCACTGATTCCAGAGCCAGCTTGTCCATGAGGAAGCCTTTCTTCCATTCCCAGAGGAGGTGCCCAGGGGGAAGCCCCCAGGCCTGTCCCTTTGACCCTGCAGGAGGCCTGCTGGTTCAGGACCCCCTGCCATCAGACTGCTGCTGTTGAGCCCAAGTTTGATTTGCGCTCAGGAGTCTGAGCTGGTAGCCTGGCTCCTGCAGGAACCTCATGAAAGATGCATTTTACCAGGCAGTTCCAGGGGAGAGACTGGCTTAAATTACAGCTCTACAAATCCAAATATTGGCATATCTGCAAATCCAAATGTGGGGATTGGAAAAAACGTCTAAGTTCTAAGAATCTTATTCTGTACTTCTTGTGTGAGAAAGGGTGGATGAGATATTCAAGAGGAGCCAAGGCCGTCAATAATGAGGGAGCTTCAGCAAAGCCAAGCCGACCTCCTTTTCTTCCCCTGGGCAGTCTTTGTGCTTCCAGGAAGCAGAGCTCTGGCATGAGAGAAGAAGACAGCATTTGTCAGCGTGACTTTCTGCAGGATAGGTTGGAGGAAGCACCCCTCAGAATGGGGTACAGGGGGGCTGGCAACTCCAGATGGACAATTGCTATCTGTTTTCCCTGAACCGCTTCTGGACCCATGGACAAGGGATCCCCCTGGATCACTCACTGCTTTGCAGTTTATTTTACAGCACAGCAGGCTCAGGGATCCTTTGGGATTAGGAGCCATGCTAGGTTACTGCTTTGCTCAGAACCCTTCCATGGCTACCCAGTGCCTTGGAGAGGAGCCAGAGTGCTTGCAATAGCTGCCTGGCCCTGCCTGGCCTGCCTTCCCATGACCTACCTATCTGACAGCTCACACTCACACCCTGGACCTTTGTATCCCCCACCCAGGGCAGGCATGCTTCTCTCCCAGGCCCTTAGCACTTCCTGTTCTTTCTGTCTGGACCACTTTGCCCCAAGTTTCCTTCACAGCATGCTCCTTGAGGTCGTAACCCAGATGTCCACTCCATGGTCAGCCTTCCCTGACCACCTGCTTAGAATCCCAGGTGCCTGGCTCTGAAACCCCAGTCAGTGCTGAAGAGAATGAGTTGTTCAAGAGACAGGCTGACAGCGGAGTCCCTCTCTGGCTTCCTGTCTGGCCGTATCATCTCCCTCATAAGCACTTCCACTGTGTGTGTGTGTGTGTGTGTGTGTGCGTGTGTGTGTGTGTGTGAAAGAAAGAGAGAGGGAGGGATCTCACTATGTAGCCCTTCCTGGCTTGAACTCCCTGTAAGCCCAGGCTAGCCCTGAACTCAGGACCCTCCTGGCTCAGCCTCCCACATGCTACAGTATTGCTGCACCCAGCTTTGCTCCCATTACTGTGATGCCCTGAAATGTGAGGTCCTCACCAGGGCAGACGAGGGACTAATGCCAGTCTTGGGCCTACAGGAAGATAAGCTACAGCAACATCTTTTCTTTGTAAGTACTCATCTTCAGGTATTTTGTTACAGCAGTGGAAAATGGGCTAATGCAACCCATTTCCTGCTGTAACCTATTATTCTACTTGCTCCTTCATGTTCTGTACAATTTAATAATTTATTTTTGTATCATGTCTCCCAAAATGTGAACTCAGCAAAGGTTGATGGCCTCCTTTATTCACTGGGACATCCCCAGCTCATCCAACATGGTCGACACATGGAGGCTCAAGTCAGTGTTCGTTAAATGCATGAACAAAAGGGCACTGATGTAGAATTACTCTCACTTGCAGATGAAGAAGTGGATTCTACAATGTACTCTGCCCTGCCAGGTACTGTAGTTGACACAGTTGAGTTTCACTAGGGTAAATGAACTGGGTGCAGTGACCGCTAAGTTCACCAAGAGATACAGCCCTGTGCTGTCCCACACAGTAGCCGCTGGTCCCAGGTGGCTATTGAGCATCTGAAAGTGCATTTGTTCTGGAGGGCGCTATGTCACAAATGCAAAAAGCACAGTGAAGCCCAAGACTTAGTGCAAGAAAATTAAAATATCTTGTTAAGTTTTTGTATTTATTGAATGTTGAGATAACATTTTAGATTTACCTAATTACATGGAGTCTGTTATTATAGTTGGTGTCACCTGTGTCTTTTTAAATGTGGCCTCTGTAAAAGCTGAAATGCTTTTTATATGTGTGGTAGTTTGCATATTTTATTTCTGTTGGGCAGCTCTCTTCTAGCTGTTTTCATTCTGCCTTCTATCTCTGTCAAGTACATTACCTCTTATACTCTTGAGCCCAAAGTACAGTGACCTTGTCTTCCCTATAAGAGCAAAGATATGCAGAATGCATGGATAAGTCTCAAAGGCACTAAAATACTCAGTCAGTTCAGGTTGTTAGAACAAAATGTAATGGACTAGGCAGTATAGAAGCAACAGGGATTTATTTCTCACAGTTCTGACAACTGGAAGTCTGAGATGAGGATGAAACCAATGAGGACAGACTCCTGCTGTGTAAACAACAACTTCTGATTGCACCTCAAATGGCAGAAGGAGGACACCAAGGTTCTCTGGGGTCTGTTGTATAAGGGCACTGTTGTTTGGGGCTTAAATGTCCCCAAAGGCTTGTGCTAAAGGCTTGGTCCTCAGCTGGCAGAGCTTTCGGGAGGTAGTACAGACATTAGGAGGCAGGGCCTGTTTAGATGGAGTAGGTTACCAGGGACAATATGCTCTAGAAAGATAATGGGACCCCAGCCCCCCGCCACCTTTCTGGACTAAACCCTCTGAATCTGTGAACCAAAATAAATCTTTCCTCTTTTGGGTTGATTTTCTCAGGTATTTTGTCACAACAATGGAAAGCTGACAAACACAGGCACTAATCCCATTCACATGAGTTCCACCCTTGTGACCTGATCCTCTCCTGGAGTCCCCACCTCCAATACCATCAGAGTAGGGGACAGGATATCACCATATGAATTTTGGGAAGTGTGTTAGTCACTTTCTCATTCCTGGGACACTATTCCTGACACCTGCAGTTTAAAAGAGGAGAGGATTATTTGGCTCACAGTTGCCAGTGTGTTCAGTCCATGGTTGGCTGACTCCAAGGTGAAAAATCATGGTGGCAGGGCAGGGGGGAGGAATGACAGCCAGGAAGCAGAGAGCAAAGGGGGGAGACAGAGACTAGAATATATACTCTTCCAGGTCACACCCCAGTGACCCACCTCCTCTGTGCGGGTCCTACCTCCCAACAGCACATTCAGCACCCCTGAGTCAGTCACTTTCCAAACACATGGGACTCTGGGGGTGGGCACCTTTTAGATTTAAACCATGGCAGATGACACAAGCATTAAGTACACAGCACTACCTAAAGAATACATATCTCTCCAAAGGACAGTCATTTTCAATGAGAAACACTTAAGTGGATGAATGTAGCCTCCAAGAGTGATGTGTCTTTAGCTCCTTTCAACCGAAGCAGATAGGCACCACCAGGAGCTTGAGAGCTGGGTCTTTGAGGAAGGGAATTCCAATGTAAGGGAGTTGAATGAAGCTGCTCTCATAGACCCAGGGCACTCATTCTTAACATTATTGAGTATGTCAGTAATGGCAACTCAGAAACCTGGAAAACAGTGGGCTGCTGGTGTGGACGTACTCATAGAGAAGGGAAATTTACTCGATAATTACTGGAAAGTTTGGTCCATCAGTCACCTGGGAGGCTGGGGTTATGCATATGAACTGTGGGCTGGGTTCATATGAACCCCTTTCAAAAAATGGGTTGACTGCAAGCATAAAGATCACACTTCAAATAATGGGGAGTTCACAAAGGTGATAGTAGGGCAGCAGCTAATGTTTCTTGAGTGCTTAGTGTGTCCAGCAGCATTCCAAGAGACTTGTGTGTGTTCAGACCAATCTTTATCTGGGAAGTAGACATTCATTGAGCAAACGGAAGAAATGCAGCCACCTTGCCCATGGTCACATAGCTAGTGCCATGGCATGGGGATAACTTCTAGCCACCCACCCACCTCCCTGAGACACAGCCAGCATAGCCTGGTCCCTCTGTTCTCTCACTGCATGATCTTTATGGACCGGGCTCTGTGTGTGTGTGTGTGTGTGTGTGTGTGTGTGTGTGTGTGTTTGTGATGTCACCATCCCTCCAGCTTCACTCCTGCCATGCTCGCACCAGCCAGCTCTGCTCCAGCCACACCAGTCCTTGACTTCCTGTCTGTGCCACACTCATAGTTACCTCAGAATTTGACCTATTTTCTAGACCTGGGATTGCCTTCATTCTGTTCTCAAAGCTAAATCTTTTGCATTCTTTTCACCTCACTTTAAATCCTTCACTAACTTCTGGTTACTCATGTCTTCAGCCCCTTTTGTTTGTCACCTGCATGACACATCACCACAGTGGTTTTACTTCCTTCTTCTCTATTCATCACTGCAGGTCTTTCTAGAACCCCAGGCTTTGACATGTCCCTCGTGTCCTCCCATTGCTCAGCATACTGACATCCACACAGTAAATGCTTAGAGAATATGTGTAAAGTAAATGAGTCTCTCTTTGCATGAGCCTGATGTTCTTACCATGGTGGATTAAGAGGACGGATCCTCCTGCAAATTATTTTGGGTTTCAGATATTGCTCACATTTGCAAAACTAAGTTATTAAGTGGAACCAGGAGACAGTTGACATAGTAAAGTGTGGGTCAAGGAGGAGAAAGAGAAAAAAAAAAGAAGAGGAAAACATCAAAAATACCTGCTAAGAAAAAAATACCAGGAAAGGGTTTTGCTAAAGTTGGTTGCATCGTCACTTGATTGGAAGTTATTTAAATGAAGGAGAGATGATTCCATGAGTAAAGAACTAAAGAATGGGGTGGAGTTCTTTCTTGATATGACCAGGACTTATCTTGGGTCTAAATTGATGGCCAGGGCTAAGTAAATTCCTCTGCATTTACAATCCAGTGTAACCTGGCCATCCCAGACCTGAATTCCTATTACCACCAATTTTATGCAATGCTTCATGCTCAGTTGATGAGTTGATACACAAAGAAAGACTAAGACACAATCCCTCCCCTGTAGGAGCTCATGTTGCCTTCACACTGACTGGCATAAAGTAAGTGTTGAATAAGCATTTTTGAAGTAATAGATTAATGATTGCATGGAGAGCATGAAACATAGCCGGGGATGTCAGACAAGGGATACTGAGAGATGCAGCCAAAAGAATAAGTATGAAAGCCAAATTTACTTAACTTTTGCAAACTGCAGTGGCAGTATTCACTCAGTGCTGGTCTGAGCACCAGCAAGATGAAGTCTTGTCTCTGAGCTGGGGTCGGATTTACCCCATGACCAACACCACATGACCTGGGAGCAGCACAGCAGGTTCTCTTCTTATCCCCATATCCACACTAGAGCTGGAGGAAGGGAACTGCCAGAAGGGACTTGTCCTGTCTATGATGGCTGACTTTAGGAGTCAAGCTGGGTTAACGAATCCCTAGGAACTGGTAAAGCTCTCTTCCTGAGTGTGTCTGTGATGTTGCAAAGAAGGTAGGTGTCTGAGTCAGTGGACTGAGTGGGGACCACCAATGGGGCAGGCACCATCTAATCAGCTTGGGGCTTGAACAAAATGGGCAGCAAAACCAATACTCCCACCCTGCAAGCTGGGACACTCTCCTGCCTTAGACATCAGAGCTCCAGGCTCTCTGGCCTTTGGACTCCAAGACTTACACTAGGGGCCCCTGTGTTTCCAGGCCTTTGGCCTCATACTGAGAGTTGCTATTAATGTCTCTGGTTCTGAGGCCTTTGGACTTGGGATTGACCAACAGTCCCAGGATTGCAGGGTCTCCAGCTTCTGGAAAACCTGTCATGGAACCTCTCGGTCTCCGTAGTTTTGGGAGACTACTACATTTCCCTACTAAATCCTCTATCTATCCCTTATTGGCTCCATCTCCCTGGAGAACGCTATTACATCATCCCAGAGGTAGCAACTCAGCCAACCAAGGGGATGTGGCCCAAGCCCGCCATACTGCTCCCCTTCCAGTGTTTATCCTCATCTGTTACAAATGCAGAATGAAGGGTCTCCTGGGTGAGGTAAACCACAACCATTAGCAGAGCATTTCTTTCCCCCTTTCCTCCTCATCTAAGTGGGGCGTGCTTCAGCCAGAGCAGCAGCCCATGGCTTTCTGGCAGGCTGGCTCAGAATTTACCATGCCATATGGATTTCAGAATCAGACCAGTAGAAGATGGCCCCAACTGGGAAAGGGAACTGAACTGCACTTTCTATGTACGGATTGCTCGGATGGGAAGGGTGGGGTAAACTGGGGATCCTGATTATTTTAACAAATGACTTTATTACCGTAGGAGGATCTGACTCATTAGAGCTTTGGGGACATGCCAACAAAGATAAACACAAAATTGGATTTCACTGTGCTGTACTGAATGGAGGCGTCGCTATAGGCACTTAAATAAACCACTGTTCTGAGCAGGAAGAAACTTACCAGGTTGGCAAGGTCAAAAAAATCCCCATTTCTGCTGGGCAAACTCCCCTCACCTAGTGATTTACAGATTCCTGCCAGATTATCAGGGGCTAGATCAACATTTACCAAAGCTCCCATAGCTGTTTCTTCCCAAGCCTCAGGGGGCCCCTTTCCTCAGTCATGATGTAAATATGACTTACAGGCCGAGTCTGAGAGATTAAATTGAAATACTCCCCTCTGAGCTCTCTGATTAACTAGATTTCTGTTTAACTGCAGGTTAAGTAAAACCTACCTAGTTGTGTCCTTTGTTATGGGAAATCTTCCTAAACTGTGTTAGTTTGTTCACCTGTGTAAGTTTCTGGCGTAGAATGAAAATAATTACATTTTTGCTTCATGAGCAGGCATCTTGCAGAGCCTTGGGGCATTATTCTGCCTATCTGTTAAGATTAAAGTTTAACCACCATTATAGACTTCTGTGAGAAATTGGGCTCTACCTGTTCTGAGTGGAACAGAAATGTTTTGTTTTGTTTTGTTTTTCTGAGTCAAGGTCTGGCTTTGTAGCCCAGGCTGGCCCCGAACTCATGACAATCCTCCTGTCTCAGCCTCATGAGTGCTGGGATTAAAGGCGAGTGGTATCACACCTAGCACTGAACAGGAAATTCATCTCACTTTGTTAACTTTCCTAGGTCCTAGAAGGGAGTCAGGAGCTTGTTTGTAGAGACGCTGATGGAGCCCAAGCCTGAGTAGAATTTAGTTGTTACGTTTTTTTCTTCATAGGAACATGACACCTGCTGTTTGTTGCTGGTGATTGTCATGGTATCGTACTGAGCACTTTGCATGGTTTACATCATTTCATTTGGGTGCACACAGCTTGGCGTGTGGGCTGTACCTCCATTCTACTGACAGGAAGTGGAAGCTTAGAGAGGAGAGGCAAGCGACTTGCTTCTTGGTCCTCCAACAGGCTCGATGGCCTCATTTGGGAGCTCCTGCCAAATCTACACTTTCACAAGATTTCCAGGTGATGGGAGGGAGTTTTAGTGCTTGGGAAGCACTGCTTGAAAGTGCATGCTGTGACTCTCATCCCTTGCTTCAATCCAACACTTTCTCTTCACTTCTGTGTGACTTACATCGAATCACTGGATCTTTCTCTGCTTTAGTCCCTAGGGTGACAGCACTCATCTCTCTGGGCTATTGTGAGCCTCCAAGGCAGGTAATGCACCTGCAGGGCTAGCTCCAGTCCACAGCATCCCAAGTGCCTGGCACATAGAAAGGGCTGCATGGCTATCATTGCTCTTGTCCATGATTTTTCAAAATGTTTGTTTTCCCTAGGCCATCCTTGTTGCCTTTGAGCTCTTGGAATCTGGATACTGAGGCCTTGGCCAAGGATACTGATGGTAAATGATCTGCTAGTTTATGGCAGTGTTACAGCTTTGTCTGGATGTCCCCCCAAAGCCTCGTGCAGCCACAGGTGGGGCTTTTCAGAGGTGGCTGGATCTAGGGTGTGTGATGCGGGGATTAAGAGTGCATGGTTACTAAATCAGTCCACTGACTGGAATTAGCATAGTCCTGGGTGGCACCATCCAGAAGGTGGGTAGCCTGAATGAGATAAAAAGGAAAGGCAGGCTGCTGCTGCTCACTGCCTTCTGCCTGACATGAGCTGTTTCTCCTCTGTGATGCTCTCTGTCATGCCCTGCCTTGAAGCCACATACTGTGAACTGAAACCTCTACAAACTGTGTGAGCTGAAATAAACCTTTCCTCCTTTGACTTGTGGGTGCAGGTTATTTTGTCTTAGTAACCCAAAAAGTAACTGAGACAGGAGAAGGGTTGCCTCTTCCCCTGCCTAAACCTTGTTATTCAGCATTATGGCTACTGATGCCATGTAAAACCCATTTGAGCCAGGCATAGTAGTACATACCTGTAATTCCAGCACTCTGGGAAGTGGAGGCTAGAGAATCATAAATTCTAGCCCAGCCTGGGTAACTTAGCAACATAAGCTGGGGACATAGCTCAGTATGAAGGCCCTGGGCTCAATACAAAAATAAATAAAATAAAAATAAAATCTACTCAGACAGCTTCCTTGAACTTGAGACTGTGACTTGTCGTAACCTTTCTGGACAGGAGGAGTCCGCAGAGGCTCTGTGAGGTGGAGGAGTTGCATTCTGCTTTTTCAAGCTGTCCAAGGCAGCTGGCTTGCTGGGTCTTCCAAGCAGCTAGAACCCTCACAGCTCAGCTGGGGGAAAATACACACACCTGCTGCAGGATTTTGGCAGCAGCAGAGACAGACACTGGCTGCCCTCTTCATTCTGTCAGTGTGTCTGCAGATGAAAAACAGTGTCCAGGCAGGAGACTGATGATCCTGGGAGCCCCGAGCCAAGAAAAGGCAGCAAACAAAAGCAAACGGCCAGTGAAGCAGAGTGTGCCGGAGATGTACACAGAAGCATACATAGAGCTGCTGGATTTATACCGAGGGCTGGGTCATTCATTTATCCTTGTGGGCTAAGATAAGGGTGAACAGATTTCATGCTGTGATGTGAGCCCCCATCTGCAGATGCAGGGAAAGATTCCTCACTCAGTGGCTGCATAGCTGGCTTGACAAATGATTCTCAGAGGCTTATTTCCTGGAGACTGAAAGGAGCGGACATGCTGGGGCCCAGGGGTTAAAAGCACAGGGACAACCCTGGGTGGTGAGGAGGAGGTGGACTCTTCTGTCCCCATGTAGGTGGGAGCTCAGAAATGTAAGTGCCCAGGGTACTGGCTGTACAGCATTGCAAACTCCTCAGAGACACAGTGTGGTGGCTGTGTGATTGTGATGCCCAGCCACTGTGGGGAAACATGCCAGCGGATGCATGTTCCCATTTCAGGTCACCCCTGGACTTGGCTCCACACTCATACCCATCCTGGCCCTGGCCCTGCCCTCCCTCTCATCAAAAGCAGGTGGCTAAGTGCTCTGTCAGCTGTAGTTTCTCTTAGGACCTGCAGGGAAGGAAGCCCTCCAAGGGCCCCCAGCACTGGCTTGTGGCTGACCCCTCCACTGCAGAGTTCACCTCTGGGGACAAAGGCAGTACCCCTTAATCTTTGCGCCTCCTATGCATAAGCATACTCTACATGTGCTAATGATGTTTATGGAAATGAAGCCAGGGTCCTGCGGGTGTGCCACATTGAAAAATATAAGAGTGCAGCTTAAAGTTTGGCAAATTATCATTATTTAATAAAAAACCCCATTTGATGTTTTGTATTTTTTATGATTCTAGTTATTCTGTAAGGTAAATGTTATTATCACACTTAGCGATATTGGAACTGAGGCTCCAGAAGTAAGAAACTCAATGGAGAAAATGTAGCTCTTCTGTGGTGGAACCAGGATTTGAACCTTTGACTTTTGGACACCCAAACCCACGT